TTGTAGGTATGTTTGCAGTCGCAGCATTGATGACAGGAAATGCATTGGAACGGAGATTAGAGGATATAATTGGTAAAAATACCACTGAAATGTACAATTCACAAATGAATGTTAATGCTGATTTAGCTATTCAATTAATGGCTACTTTAACGTTTACTGTTGGTTTCGTTATGGTAATTGATCATCATCTCATCTTTACAATAATTTAATTGTTTAATATAAGAAGAATGAAAAAGATCAGTCAGGGTGAAGTATCACTTACCTAATCATTTCGAAATATATTTTGTTATGACAATATATAATAGGAAAACACTACGTCGAAATAATGTGTTTAAAAAATAATACAGTATGTTTCTTGACATTAAACAGTAATTAATATTTAATGATTGAATTGATCGCAGATTCAAAACGAAAAAGAAATTTAACTGATACGAATATACGGTAAAACTGTTCCCTAGTATAGAAAAATGAGGTGAGAGTTAATTCAATTCAATGTGATACAAACAAATAGATGTGACAAATATATGAGTGAAGTATATTTATTTATTAACATTTATCGTTTCTCTTCTTCGAATTTTGTAAATTCGATATTAGATTTAATTCTTCAGACAATTTTCGCCATTCTACAATTGCATTTTCTTACTGTTTATTTGGCTGATCCAGTTGTTGGTGGTTTTACGATTGGTGCAGCATGTCATGTATTCGCATCACAAATGCCAAAACTAATCGGTGTTCAAATAGCACCAAGATCTGGCCCATTTGGCCTTTTGAAATTACCATACGTAAGTTCTTCCTTAAAAACATTTTGCATTTTTCTTTTCCTGTTGTTCATTTTTATCAATATGAATATTTTCAATTATCACTATTAATTAACAAGAGATTGATATTGTAAAATATATTTATTACTACTAGAGTAACTTTCAGAAGATATTTTAGTTTCTGTTCGATTTTGTGGCATTGCTGGGTGAAGCAAATTTATGTGTTGTTATCATATCAGTGATATCAATTGTTATATTGATGGTTGGAAAGTACATTTTGAATCCATTAATACAGCAACGAATTCGAATACCAATGCCATTTGAACTTCTTGTGGTTAGTAATTCAAACATTTTCGAGAAGCTCTTCGCTATTTAAGTTGTTTTTGCTATTATCAAATTCCTACAACATCCTATTTTACCAAACAATGAATGAGAGAATTTTCAAATTCTTTTTCATTACTAAAAAATTTAAGCATTACGATCATTGCTATAAATATATTTACTACTTTCTTTAATTAATAAATTTCCTCTACCATTATGAATAATTCAGATGATAGCAGGTACGTTGATGGCTTACATATTCGAATTAAATGTGAAACAAAAAGTTGCTATTGTTGGATTAATACCATCTAAGTTAGTTTTTCCAAAATAATCATTCATTATTTATTCAATTTTTCTATCATTCACATATACCTTAAAATTAATGCAACCAGTATCTACACATCATCTGGGATAAAATATAGCCTGTTTACTTAAACACCTTTTTTTTTTTGGGATGCTTAGATATATTCCAATCTATTAGCAGACTATTTACTGTTATAGTTATTATATTCATTGTTGTAGTCTAATTTAAAAAAAAATAACAAACTACAAGGATAATAGGATAAATAAATGAATACATTTATTCAGTTTTAAATTAGTACAATCAAGTTACAAAATGTTATAATGTACAGATAAATTAGATATTGTTGTTGGTGATACATAAATAATTTACAGATTACCAATGCCGACAATACCAGACTTCAATCATTTTAGTGCATTTATTTTGGATGCAGTGGTAATCGCTATAGTAATTTATTCCGTAACAGTATCTGTAGGGAAAGTATTTGCGAAAAAGCATGGATATCATATTAATCCTAGTCAGGTATGGTATAATTTTTTTTTCTTTTTCTTATTAATATTAAACAAGCATTTACCTTCCAGTTGTTCCTGAGATATTACTATTGTTTTACTCTGCTTTCCGGCTGTATTGGAATAAAGTTATCCTTTACAAGTGTTTAGTCATTTTTGAATTAGTTCATTCTTGAGTTTAAGCCATCTAGCCATCCGATCTAGTTCATTTTTGAGCCTTAAGTAAACTTGAGTTTTATTTCAGGAATTAAATCTGTTATAGTTTTAGAACTAAATTTCATTTAGATGCGAATGCTTTTGTGTTATTTTTAATTTTATCAATTGAACAATCAAATAAATATTTTCAATGAATTAATATTTGTAGGAATTGAAAGCGATGGCGATATGCCAATTGGTGGGTGGTTTCCTAAGTTGTCATCCTGCAAGTGCAAGTTTATCACGTGCTCTTGTAAATTCGGAATTGGGTGCTACCTCTGAGGTTACGTCTTCTTTTCCTGATGGAAAAGTTAATTGAACATAATCTTACCGTTTCCATTTCTGATACAAATCGTTACTGATTACGATGTTAAAATAATTTTCACTGATATTTTTTCCAGCCGATTGTCATCATACGTCTTGCTAAAATAGAATTAAAATGCAGTATTGCAGCTTTCGAGCGTTGTAGCTGCACTTGTAGTATTATTGGTCATTTTGTTGGTTGGACCACTACTCTATTATTTGCCAACGGTAAGATAATTATTCAACTGAAGCTTACAAAATGATTTTCATTCCAATACCTAATCATGTATTATTAATAGCAAAGTTCACTTCATTTACTAACATCATTTCAGTGCGTACTGGTATCAGTAATAGTTGTAGCTCTGCAGCGCATGTTTCTAAGAGCTACAGAAGTTACTCAGTATTGGAAAACTTCAAAAATTGACCTGGTTAGTGCACTTGAATTTGTCAGGATTATTTCCAATGCCTCAGCATTATTGATTAGATTAACGAAACTGTTTTGCTGATAAGAGAATAGTGAGTTATACATGTCTTATCAGTAAAGACAATCAGCTGAAGAATTGCAGCTTATTTGGTTAGTAAGTTTTTTGGGCACATTTCTATGGAACGTGAGCCAAGGACTTGGTGTAGCCATAGCATTCGCTGTGTTAACTGTTATCATTCGCACACAGTGGTTAGTGATCTCTTTGTTGTTGGCTAATGTATGACTGAAATAACTTATGAAAGAGTAACTTTGAAAATTCGTTTCGTTTCATATTTTTCGTATTTCACTTTCCCTACCCTCTTGCTTGGCTTGAACAGTGGAAGCTTTGAAGAGTCATGTATTTCAATTCTTTTTTCTGTTTTTCTTTTTCTTGCTGAATCCAAATTTATCTTATGCAAGAATTTATGCGTCGAGAATATTTTAGGCCAAAAGCTGTGATACTTGGTGGGATGGAAGATACCGAGCTATATAAGGACAGCCACCGTTACAGGTAAAATTAGACTACCCATCATCTTTAAAACTTCTATATTATATTATATAGGCTTTAAAAGTGTTCGTTCTTAGAGATATTGAGGGGATTATTTGAAATGGAATACAAGAATTTAGACGTAATTCGATATAACGTAGTGTTGATATGAGCTATTTTTAGTGGATCATTAATATCACCTACTATCGCAATTTATCGCTATGATGCACCTTTACTTTTTCTAAACAGCAATTCATTTATCAATAAAGCTCTTGATATCGTTGACGATAAATTGGTTAGTCGTCCTTTTCTTCAAATGATTCTTTGCTATTGCTTGTTAAAAAAAAATTATTTCAAAAATATCAATTATTTAAAAAAAAATATTAATGCATATGACGCATTATTCAGGAATCATATCCTTTTTGTTGAAAACAATGAAATATTATAGAAAATGTTAAATGAAAAGGAAAAACTTTATCTGATCATTGATGCTTCTGGATTTACATACATCGACTATACCGGAATCGAAAGATTGAAAGATTTGTCGCAAGAATTGAAAATTCGCAATGTCGAAATGTTTGTGGCGGCCTCGAAAGGTAATCTATTATTTCTTCACAACATATGCTACCCGAAACAATCAAAAGTGATAAAAATGCAGATACATTTATTGTAAGATAATATGCGGGGAAAATTTTTCAGCAGAAGCTCGGATACTATTCGCTAAATGTAACATCTATAAGGTGATTCCGTCGACTAATTTCTTCCCATCCGTTCATGATGCCGTATTGTTCGCTAATGCTCAACAGATGAAACAAAAGAATATTTGCAAAGAACGAAACACAATAGACTATGCATTTACACAACATTTATAACAGATTCATGTAAAGTTGACTTGCCTGTCTTTCATCGTTATCCATCGCTTTCGTTTACTTTTTCATGAGGTATGTTCTAAAGTGAACTCTGTATTACATCATTTCAGATTATCGACAATCTTTGAATGAATTGACAGTAGTTGTTCCTGTTGTTTCTTTCCTAGTTGTTCCTGTCCTGATTAGACGCTTTGTGCTTGTTATTTCTTTCATCCATCGATCCTTCTCGCATTCTTCCTTGAATTTTTTGATTAACGTATTCTGGGACTACGGCAAATGGAAAATAGATGTGGTTCATTTTTTCATACAAATAACTAGCTTGTAGTACGACTTCAAATAAAATATCATATTTGTCTCCATTATGCAACAAATTACCTCTTACTTTCCCTTGCCTTATTTCTTCTCAATTTCATTTTTCTTTCTACAAGATTTACTCATTAGTTATTCTACGTAAACATTTATACAAAATACTATATTGTATTTGAATTTAATTTTAGATTTGAAGTAGATTTTACGATATCATGACGGATGCAGCATATGGTAGAGATGTTGATCCATAAATTCTGCATGATACTGTACAACATATTCAGTTATATCATGTAACGATCATCAATCTTCATCAAACATCACCTTCTTATCTTGCTTTTATCAAAAAAATATTACTGCCTCGTGGCATGTTTTTCAGAAAAATTTTGCACAATTCTATAATATTTTGAAAAGGTAATTTTAAGGAAAAAGATTCTGAAAAAAACTTTCAAATCTATCTGTTATACTTCCTATTATTGGAAAAATCATTTGTGTGCCGTACTTACATAACTGCGTTACTTTATTATGGCAACTCTTTCGATACCAGAGATATCGAAAGTATGGGGAAAAACAATCCGATATTCTATTTATTTATTTACTAAATTTATTTATTTATTCTATTTTTCTGTTTGCCTGTATTACTTGGTTATGTGATTGTATTTCTGACTTATTACACAATAACTTGCGCATAGTTGAAAACATCTTTCAAATACTCTTGATGGAAATAGGAAATCCCAACGTAGAGAACAGTTCGACTCAACTAGGTATAAAGAAAAAAATGTTTCAATATTCTCCTCGAATTGCGGCAGTAATATGTTCGTGCTTGGAAAGTATCTTTCCAGAATTATTTTCCGGAATACGATATCATATTAAGTTTTCTATCTTCAATCGTCCAAGCAATCAATCGATCCCCTGATATGATATGAATGATATTTGAAATGATAGTTCGAAAAATTTCGAACCAATCGATCAATCTATTATTTATGTGACAGATATAAGCAACTTTTCATACATAGACAACATTTTGAATTTAAAAACTGATATGAAAAGAAAAAATTCTATCCATTGAGCATTTCAGTTTTCCTTAAACTTTTCTACTAATTTTTGAATTACAACAAATAATATATCCATTGATCCTTTTTCGGTGTTTTCTTCTTTATCAAATTTTATAATCATATAGACTATTTTTACCGTAGAAATAAAGGGAAATCTTTAAATTTTAAAAATTCAATTTAGTGGTGCAAAGTCAAACAATGAAAAGATGTTTATAATTTATATAAAATAATACAGTTTTCACTGAAGGTTATCATTAAGTGA